ACAGGCTAGTGCAGTAACAGCAGTAGTGCCAGCAGTGGCAGCACGAGCAACAGCAGCAGTAGTAGCAGCGGCCGTAGCAATAGCAGTAGGAGTAACAGTAGGACAGTGCAGCTCAGTCAGGGCAGGGCAGCGCTGCTCGAGCAGAGCGGCGCGGCTCGGGCTGGGCAGCGCTGCTCGGCAGGGCACAATGCAGCAGTAGCAGCGTGTGCAGCAGCAGCGCGCTAAGCAGTAGGGCGCTTTGGCGCTTTTAGGGTTGCAGGGCGCGCTGGCGCGCTTAGCAGCGGGGCGCGCTGGCGCGCTTAGCAGCGGGGCGCGCTGGCACGCTTAGCAGCGGGGCGCGCAGGCGCGCTTCGTAGTGGGGCGCGCTGGCGCGCTGGGCTGCGGGGCGCGCTGGCGCGCTTAGCAGTGGGGCGCGCTGGTGCGCTTAGCAGCGGGGCGCGCTGGTGCGCTGGGCTGCAGGGCGTGTTGGCGTGTTTAGGGCTGCAGGGCGCGCTGGGCTGTGGGGCTGCTTGCGGGCAGAAGGGGCGGGAAGGGCAGGGGTTGATCGCGGGCAGCAGGGGCGCGCGGGGCAGGGGCTGCCCGCGGGCAGCAGTGGCGCGCGGGGCAGGGGTTGCTCGCGAGCAGCAGGGGCGCTCTGGGCAGGGGCTGCACGCGGGCAGCAGGGGCGCGCAGTTCAGGGGCTGCTTGCGGGAAGCAGGGGCGCTCGGGGCAGGGGCTGCTCGCGGGCAGCAGTGGCGCGCGGGGCAGGGGCTGCTCGCGGGCAGCAGGGGCGCGCGGGGCAGGGGCTGCACGCGGGCAGCAGGGGCGCGCGGGGCATTGGCTGCTCGTGGGCAGCAGGGGCGCGCGTGACAGCAGGGCAGCGCGCTAGGGCAGGCAGTGCAAGTAGCTGCAGGGCAGCGTGACACTGTGCGAGAGGGCCGGACAGCGCAAGGGCGCTTCGGGCAGGAACTAGCGGAACGATCGGTGGGCCCAAAAAACCTAACATGTTTCGTGCTCTAAATACCATGTCAGAATCAACTGTGTAGGAATGAATGAACTATGAATGAGTTGGGTACAAGTACTAACCCTAAAATGTTGTACCCCTTGTAGGCTAACCCACTATAGCCTAGAGAGAACACAAACATATAGTTTGACAAAAACGACATAAACTGTATTGTGTCTGAAATGCGAGTCGCCTTTCAGTGACCATTAACGTTTTTTTTAATTGGTCGGTGTGAAACGCGCTAACGTCGTCGACGAATTGCGAATCAACCCGACATTGTAAAAAAATCGCACGCGGCTCGAAATGCCTGACAGGACCACATGCACCTGGACACCCGACAATGCCAATTTCGCAAGGGAAAAATCCCGCGCATCGAAACCACACCCCTACCGTTCTGTTGAAAAAACGGGTGTATAGCCATTTGTGTCACCCAATCAACTGCGCATAATTGTGCATTCTCGCCTGGTCGCCTCGCCTAGTGTCGCGATGTATTCATTTTTTGTGACGCGAGGCTGGCAAAATGTTTTGACGCGACTCGGGAAAAATGGCATTGAGACACTTGTGTTCCCACATGAATGTTCCCTAAATACTTGTCAAAACCCCAACCATTTAGACCATTGGGAAAAAAGAGCGTGTTTGTGTTGCGGGTTTGTGCGCCCATACCCCCCCAGACGAACTCGCCTGTAACCCCCCCATGATCAATCGGGCATCTACAGTGCAGATCTAGTGACAATACCCTGATTATATTTGCTATCGGCCGCATTTTGGCAGTTACCCATATCTTTTTAGTACATTTGATTTATTAACATGATGAAGAATGTGTAGTTTTCTGTCAAACTATGTTACTGTATGTAGTTTTAGATAGCTTATCTATCGTGATACATAATTACTCTCTCAACACTCTTCTTATACCCCTCCCCCCTGTTGGGCTGAAAAAATAGCCTTAGGACCTTTTAGAGTTCAGTCTTGATTAGCCCTAGTGTTGCAACGGAAGTCCATGAATTCCTGTGCTAGTCGAATGTGAGAACAAACATTGATAATAATGAGATGGTACAAGAGATATACATGTTGAAATTATGGTTACTTTTGGTTGCTCCAGTAAATATATGTAGTGCTAGATCTCCACTATAGTAGTGTAGAATACATTGGTTGGGTTGGGAGAACTTGTGGTGTACACTCTTTAGAGTGTACAACCTCCCACACCCTATAGGTCAGAGTTTTCTCTTGTTGGAACTTCACTTCTTGGAAACACTCTTGGTTTTATCATGGTTCATGCCCAAGTTGGCTCATAAGATTCCTAAGCTTTAGGAGGAGGTTGTAAGACTACTGTAGCTTCCGCTAGTATCTTAGACCATTCTAACATGGTGTCAGTGCAAGGAAGGCCTAGCAAACGGTTGGAATAGGAGCTACTAAAGGGATTGGACCATAATACCTTGGTGGAAGCTAAATAGCTTCCATCCCTCCCGAAGGGCTGCCGAAATTGCACCGTGCCGGACACTGAACGTGGGAGGGTAGGAGGAGAGAAGAAACCCGCTAAAAACCGTGTGGATATATTCGGGAGGACGAGATGAGCGACATCCATTCACGGAGAGGCTCGGTCAACGTTGGCCGATCAAGGCGTGCAGCATATTGTTAGAAAGGTCTCGACACGATACAACAGTTGCCTCGGGTTTGTCACCAATTAACCAGCGGATCAGGCACAATTCGCGAAATAAAGTCGGTCGACGAATTGGAAAATCGCAAACTGGGGAAGATTTAAAGCGCAAAAAAAAGGATTGGAGAGCGAACGCCAAGAGAAGAGGCCAGGGTGCATAAAAATGGCAAAAAATCGGGAAGAATGGTCGAGTCTTCGTCGACGGAAAATCGGCCAACTTCGACGAGTTTAAGCGGACAACTCGGACGCGGGATTCAGGAGCGAGATACACCATTGGAACGGCCAGATCAAGGAGGTGCTTGCTCAGAGGTACCAGATGAAGGATCTAGGTGAGGTATCAACGTACCTTGGTGTGGAGGTTCGCAGGTCGGTCAAGGATGGGTGGTTGGAGTATAGCTAGGAGAAGTATGTTCGTGGTCTTCAGGGAAGGTTTGGTGGTCTACTGAAGGAGACACACAGGGTGCGTACTCCCATGTCACCTAATGATATCTCTAAGATCAGGAAAGGTACTTGGTCGAGTGAAGAAGGTGCTGCAGCTGATGTTAAGGTGTATCAGAGTCTCATTGGCAGCTTGATATATGCTGCTGTAACTACCCGTCCTGACATGTCCTTCACTGTCAACACTCTTGCACAGTCCTGCGTGGAACCAAGACGCATTCGCATGCGCGCTGCACTGAGAGCACTCAGATACTTGGTCAACACAGCTGATCGTGTTATCAAGTATGAACGCCAAGGTGGTGAGCAGGTTGTTGGGTACACTGACTCGGATTGGGGTGGTGAGACTGATAGCAAGAGTCGCTCTGCCTACATCTTTAAGTTGGGAGAAGGAGCTATCAGCTGGTATAGCAAAAGGCAAGACAGTGTCGCAGCAAGCGTTTCTGAAGTTGAGTATAAGGCTCTATCGGAGGGGGCCAAGGAGGCCATTTGGTTGAGGAGTTTGTTGGCGGAGATGCATCTGAATGATGGGGGGGCTATTCCATTGTTATGTGATAATGAGGCTGCTGTCTCCCTTTGCCCACAATCTCATTCTCTATCAGCGCACCAAGCACATTAAGGTAGCTTGGCACTTTGTACGGGATGCGGTGCGCTAGTAGGAGTTCGAGGTGCACTTAGTACGCTCCCACCTCCAGGATGCCGACATGCTCACCAAGGCTCTCCCAAGGTTGCAGTTGCATGAGAATCTTAAGTGCATTGGCATTCGAGTGATGACTTCAAAGGCCAAGGCTTCATTCGCTAAAGGAGTTGTGTTTTGATTAATGGGTGAACTTTAATGCTTATTGGAGCAAGGGGGGGTGTTGGAATCATGGTTAATGTTAAAAGTTAGAACGAGGAATGACTAGAAACAGGACAGTACAAGGTTTGTATAGGCAAAACCTAACAATTCTGTACCCCATAAGGAGTGCCCCACTACAGCCTACAATATAGTTCAGACACACCCCCATAGGCAAAGTGGGGGACAAGCCAGAGAACAAGGCAAGGTCAAGCTCAGGGTGGACCACAACGTCACCACACATTCTGAGCACAAGTACAAGGCCACAAGGCCAGTTCACATGCAGGATTATAAATCAAGGTGAACAAGCAAGACAGTTATCTCAACCTAGCCAGGGTAAGCATGCAGGTGCAGGTATATATAGATCACAGTACAAGCAAAGTCAAGAGGTAAGCAAGTGAGGCCAGGTAGGCACAAGACCTAACATAGTACAAAAACGCTGATGATCACAAGGCTGAAGTGCCTTGGTAAATATATCAGCAGTGTTGGCCCGAGTGGCCACGTAAGCAAGACGAAGCTGACCACGCTGCTGCAACTCTCGAGCAAGGAAGTAGCGCAGAGCAATGTGCTTCGTTCTGTGCTCCAGTCTGTGCTCCTGACACAAGACCAGCATGGCCTTGTTGTCGACATACAGAACTGGAGGAGAACGAGGTGCCTCTCCCAAGTCGGTCAGCAGGTAGGTGAGCCAGCGTAACTCCTGTGCAGCCATGGCCCCTGCGTAGATCTCAGCCTCACAACTGGAGCTGAGAACAGAAGACGAGCGGGTAGACCGCCATGAAACAGAGCCGGAACCAAGGCTGAAGGTGTAACCCTGTGACGACCGCTGCGTAGCCAAGTCGTCAACCCAAGAAGCGTCTGTGTGACCAGTGAGGACAACTCGAGCCCGTCCTCCAAGCACGAGCCCCATGCCCGACGTACTGCACAGGGAGTGCAAAACCCTCTTAGCTGCATCCATGTGCTCTGGTCGGTGTCTCCCAGGAGCAACATAGCGTGCCAAGATGCTAAGAGGGTATGCCAGGTCAGGTCGAGTGCAGGTCATTAGGTACATGAGGCAGCCAACAAGCTCTGGGTACGGGCCACTCAGCTCTACGGACTCATCCGAAGCCAGAGCTGAGAGCGAGTGGCGAGTAGACAGAGGAGTGGCCTGAGGCGAGGAGTACGTTGAAGCGCTGAAGGACCTGCTGCACCATGTGTGACTGAGTCAAGGTAATGGTGCGCCGTGCTCTGTCCCGGGTGATCTGCAAGCCAAGATAGCTGCGCGCTTCACCCAGGTCTGTGCACGTGTGGCTCTTCTGCAGCTCCGACTTCACGTGGGCGAGTCCAGCAGTGTCAGCAGTAGCAAAGACCAAGTCGTCGACGTACACGAGGATGTAGAAAGGCGGCAGAGTAGTGTCGGTGCGGAGAAACAGCGACGGGTCAGCAGTGGAAGGAGCAAACCCAAGAGCCGCAAGCGTAGTCCTCAGTGTGTCGTGCCACTCACGGGGTGCCTGGCGGAGACCGTAGACTGGCCGCCGGAGGCTCCACTGGGTCCCAGGAGGAAAAGACCCAGTGAAGCCAGGTGGGCGGCGTAGCCAGATCTCCTCGTGCAGGCAGCCCTGTAGGAAGGCTGTGCTGAAGTCAAGAGAGTGAAGCTCATAGTCACGCTGAGCAGCGACGTGCTGCAGTACCCGAAGAGTGGTAATCTTCGGGGTGGGAGAGAAGGTCTGAAAGTAGTCAACTCCCTGCCGCTGACTGAAGCCTCGAGCCACGTATTGCGCCTTGAAGACAGGCGGAGAATCCGGCGGCCGCTTCACCCTGAAAATCCACATGCCATCGACAATGTTCGCCCCAGGTGGGGGAACCTCGTCGACGTAGGTGCCTGTGGACTTCCAGGAAGCCATCTCTGCGTCCATGGCTGTCTGCCACTGAGAGGAGTAGGGACCCTCTATCGCCTCTGCGTAAGAGCGCGTGGTCGGGATGTCTGGTGCATCCAAGTCTCCCTCAGGGGCAAGCAGCATGGATACGAGATGAGGTAAAGCAGCAGCAAAACACTGGAACTCCTCCTGCCTGTCCTCAAGGACGTCTGTGCTAAGAGCACACTCACCCCCGACGGACGGAGGACAGACAGACTCTGACTCAGCAACAAGACTAGCGGCGTAGTCTAGACGACAGCGAGCAGCAAAGTGGACAAGCTCAGCAACTAAGGCAGACGCAGCAGTGGACTCAAAGGAAGGGTCAGTGACAACAGTGGCCAGGAGACGCGTGACAGTAGGACTAGCAGCACGAAGGGAGTCAGACTCCGGGTCAGCAAGGGCAGGAAGAGAGGACAGATGAGGAGACGGCAGGGGGACACGCTGCGGAGGAGTGGAAGGACGCAGAGCCATTTGGTGTGTGCCAGGGATAGGAGGAGGACGCTGACGGGAACCACGACGACTAGTGCGAGCAGCACGAACAGGCGACGCAGGACGAGACTCGGGCTCACGACGCTCAGCAAGACCTCCGGGTGGACCAGTGATAGGAGAAGGAGCCGGCAGTGGGGAGGCGGGGTTTAACTGTGACTGCGACTGGACACGCGGTGGATACTCTAAGGAAGGAGCAGGACCAGTAGAAGGCGGGAGACCAAGAACCTGCTGAAGGAGCGGAACGAAGTACGGCCGCGGCCACGCAGCGCCTCCAGAACCAGCAGGGACAGCACCAGCACCCCCAGCGTCAGCTCCAACTCCAGCAGCACCTCCAGCTCCAGCAGCACCTCCAGCAGCTCCAGGAGCGCCAACTCTAGCACCCACAGGAGCACTGGCTCCAGCAGCACCTCTAGCTCTAGCACCTCCAGCAGCTCCAGCTCCAGCAGGACCACCAGAAGCCCAGGCAGCTCCAGTAGCGCCAGCTCCAGTACCTCCAGCAGCACCTGCTCCAGCAGCACTGCCAGCTCCAGCACCTCCAGCAGCTCCAGCTCCAGCAGCACCACCAGGCCGAGCAGCTCCAGTACGAGCACCTCCGGGACCAGTGGCTCCAGAACCCCCAGCAGCTCCAGCAGCAGCAGGACCTCCAGCGCCCGTAGCACCACCAGCTCCAGCAGCACGGCTCCAGCGCCGAGCAAACCACTCGCGCAGCTGCTGTGGAGAGAGTGGCTCCCGTCGGGACGAAGCACCCGATGGACCTCCAGGCTCAGCACCTCCAGACTCCACACGCGCAGGCTCAGCACCCTCAGGCTCAGCACCCTCAGGCTCAGCACCCCCAGACTCAGCGACCCCAGGCCTAGCACCCCCAGGCTTAGCACCCCGAGACTCAGCACCCTCAGGCTCCGCACGCTCAGGCTCAGCACCCCCAGACCCGGCACCCGCAGGCTCAGCACCCCTAGCAGCACCAGAGTCAACAGCTACCTCGACAGGCTCGACTGCGTCTACCTGGGACACACTTGAGGGGGCAGGACCCTGAGGGGGGAGGGGGTCTACCGAGGGAGGACCTGGCGCGAGGAAGAGCGGCGGGGGGGGGGAGGGGGGCAGTGCGGTAGGGGAAGAGACGGTAGTAAGGAGCCGACTCGTCAAACGTGACGTCCTGAGAGGACAGAACACGGCGCGAGGTGGGGTGGTAAAACTGCCAACCAGGCGCGTCAGGGGGGAAGCCAAGGAAGACGCAGGGAACAGCAGGGGAGGACAGCTTGTCCGCAGACAAATTGCGGACAAAAGCTCAAGATCCCCAGACACGGAACGCAGACGCATCGCCAACCTTCCCCGTCCAGCGCAGAGCAGGTGTGGTCTCCAGCATGGAGACCCGGGGCTGGAGGTTGAGCTGATGCGCAGCGTACTGAATCGCGAACGGCCACAGAAAATGGGGAGCAGCCGCATGGATCATGGACGTACGAGCGACGTCCATGACCATGCCAATGCGGCGCTCAGCAATCCCATTTTGTTGTGGAGAGGCCGGAAGCGTGAACGTCTGGCGGATGCCCTCCGCACGACAGAAGGCCCTCAGAAGGTCGGAGGAAAACTCTCCACCTCTGTCGGAGTGCAGATGCAGAACAGGAAGGTCCGAGCCGAAACTCTCGCTGAGCTGGCGACGGGCTGCGTGGATCCAGACGATCAGCACCTCAGTGACCTCACCCTTGCGGCGCAAGGGGAAGACTGTGGTGTAACGCGAGTAGTCGTCAACGACCAGCAGAAAGTAGCGCTCGTGACCCTGTCCACAGACGCGGGATGGGCCCCACACGTCCATGTGAAGAGTCTGCAGGGGAGCCTCCGTCGGAGGGAACTCGGAGGAGTGAGGAGCGGCGCGCTGCCACCCCTCGACGCAAGGAACGCAGGTAGGGGCAGGCGATGGGGGAAGGGGAGGGAGAGACCGGAGAGAACCAGTGACAAGGGCACGGGAGGCCATGCCTCGGAGACGAGGCAGGGAGGGGTGACCAAGGCGGTGGTGCCAGAGGAGAGTCTGGTGAGACATGAGGCGACACTAGCAGGTGGCAGACTCAGGACCGGGACACTGCAGCAAACACCTGACCCGACGCAGCGACCTGACAAGACTCAGCAACAGGAGGAGACACAGTAGACAAGGTGTAGAGGCTCGACCCAGGCTGCCGGGTGAACGTGGCCAGGTGTCGGCCCGTCCGTGTGCACGTACAGTGGGTCACCCGCTGACCTCCAGGAGTGAACTGGTCAACCCACACGTCCTGAAGGTCAGCCCCACTCACCAAGTTTGTAGAGAACGAGAGGAGGTGAAGACCCAACAGTGAGCCAGACGGGACCGCCGGACATGGCAGAACCGTAGAGGAGTGCGCAAGGACTGGACCCCCAGAGAGGTCAGCCAGGGAGACTGCAACCGGCCGACTGAGCGGCGTGAGTGTAGTGCAGTCGCGAAAGAAGGAGCGGGAAGCTCCTGAGTCAAGCATGAAGGTGTGCAAGGCTGCAGCAGGCGCAGTACCAGAGATTGCAGACTCACCAGCACCTGGAGCAGTGGACTCACTAGCGCCTAGAGCAGCAGCCTCACCGGCACCTGGAGCAGGAGACGCACCAGTACCTAGAGTAGCAGCCTCACCAGCACCTAGAGCAGCAGACTCTATACCTGGGTCAGGCGGCACACACAGGTAACAGGCACCCTCAGCACTAGTAGGCAATGCATACATGGCAGTGAGGATAGCATCATAGTCAAGAGCAAAGATATCTATCCTCTGCCTAAGCAGCTCCAGCCAGGAGGGGAGCTCAGCGTCGTCGCCAAACTCTGTACGCCAGGCGTCGCTCAGACAGGAGAAGCAGCGGGACTCTGTGTGACCAATCGTCCCGCAAGGCTGACCAGTCCGAGCACTTGTGCGAATGACGTACAGGCAACGAGCAGTACTCCGTGACCCTCTACTCTGAGCGTACCACTCACGAAGCTGCTGGGTCGAAAGGATCTCGCGCGGACGCCGCTGCAGCTGCACCTGGCCACTACAAGAAGTTCCCGAACGACCCGCTCCAGGGCGACTCCCACCACGGCCACCCCTACAACCCCAACTAGCATACCACTCACGAAGCTGCTGGGGCGGAAGAGTCTCGCGCGGACGCGGCTGCAGCTGCAGCTGGCCACTGCCAGAAGCTCCCAAACGACCCGCTCCAGGGCGACTCTCACTACGGTCACCCCTACAACCCCAACTAGCGTACCACTCACGAAGCTGCTGGGGCGTGAGGGACTCACGCGGACGTCGCTTGAGCTGCATCTGGCCACCGACAGTAGCAGCAGGAGTGGCAGTGCAGCAGTAGTTGCAGTGACAGCTGGAACAGCAGTAGCAGCAGGGCAGAGCAGCGCGGCTCAGTAGGGCAGGGCGGCGCGGCTTGGCCGAGCGGCGCGGCTCGGCTGGGCGGCGCGGCTCGGTTGACAGGCAGGCATGGTACGCGTGGCAGCATGCTGGTAAGGCAGGCGCGCAGGCAGTGCGGGTAGGGCAGGTGCTCACCAGAGGCGGGTAGGGCAGATGCCACCGGCGACGGAGGGCAGGCGCTCAACGGGCACGGGTAGGGCAGGTCCGGCGCTCGACGGGTGGCTGCAGGCGCTTGACGGGCGGCTGCAGCGGGGCCGCGACGGCGGCTACGACGGGGCCGCAACGGCGGCTGCAGGCACGACGGCGGCTACGGCGGGGCAGGGCCGCGACGGCGGCAACGGCGGGGCAGGGCCACGACAACGGCTACGACGGGGCTGCAACGGCGGCTGCAGACGTGACAGGGGTAGGGCAGGGCAGGGGCGGCCGCCCCAAGGGCGGGCACGGGGTGGGGCAGGGCGCGGGCGGGCTGCATATGAGGCAGGGCGCAGCGGCCAGGGGGGGGGGGGGGGGGGGGGGGGGGGGGGGGGGGCGACGAGCAGGGACGGTGCCCAGGGGGCGCCGCGACGAGCAGGGGCGACACCGCGCGGGTCCCGCAGGGGCGTCGCGATGAGCAGGAGAGGCGCCTCGCGGGTCCCGCAGGGGCGTCGCGGGGTCCAGGGGCTGCGTCGCGGGGTCCAGGGGTGGCGTCGCGGGGTCCAGGGGCAGCGCCGCGAGGTCCAGGGGCGGCTTCGCGGGTGCAGAGCAAGCCCGCGCGCGGCCTGCAGGGCAGGGCGACGAGGGCGCGGGTAGGGCAGGCGCTCGAGGGCGCAGGCAGGGCAGGCGCTCGAGGGCGCGGGTAGGCAGGCGTCCAGGGGCGGCTTCGCGGGTGCAGGGCAGGCCTGCGTACGGCCTGCAGGGCAGCGCTCGAGGGCGTGGGTAGGGCAAGCGCTCGAGGGCACAGGCAGGGCAGGCGCTCAAGGGCGCGGGTAGGCAGGCGCAAGGCGCGTGACGGGGCAGGCAGGCATGGCAGTGCGCGTCGGGCAGGGCATAAAAAAAAAAGTTCATGGTGGGCCCTAAAAAAAATTCCCACTAGGGAACCTGCTCTGAAACCATGTTAAAAGTTAGAACGAGGAATGACTAGAAACAGGACAGTACAAGGTTTGTATAGGCAAAACCTAACAATTCTGTACCCCATAAGGAGTGCCCCACTACAGCCTACAATATAGTTCTGACAGTTAATTCGGGTTACTCCAATAAGCATATGTAGTGCTAGATTTACACTATAGTAGTGTAGAATACATTTGTTGGGTAGGGAGAACTTGTGGTGTACACTCTTTAGAGTGGACCACCTCCCAAACCCTATAGGTTAGGGTTCTCTCTTGTTGGAACTTCACTTGGAAACACTCTTGAATCTAGCATGGTTCATGCCCAAGTTGGCTCCTAAGATTCCTAGGCTTTAGAAGGAGGTTTTAAGACTACTATAGCTTCCGCTAGTAGCTTAGACATTGCTAACAATATTGTATACCAAAGTATCTACTCGGTAATGTACCTATTCGTGAACTGGGCCATTTATCGAGTCGACATCTGAAGCGATGCTTTTATGTGTCTCGCGAATAGTTACGAAAATGTTCGCAATACTGCCTGTAACTTATGCGAATGGACACCTGCTATAGACATGCACATATATACTACGATACTACTGTAGTGATCGAGCTACTGAATTGCATATGTCCTTTAAAGCCCGCGTCCCAAATTGCGGGCCGCGAGGGTCAAGTTTTTAAAACTTGACGAAGTTGAGTGTCCAAGCTTTTGAAAGTCACGCACTTGCAATTTGGGAATTTCGAAGACAGATTCACTCACCAGGGGGAAAACCGAGGGTTGGCTGGGTCTCGCGAAAAAAACGAACCTAGACGAAATCGGAAACTCTCGCCAAAGCCCACACCAGAAAAACTCCCTCTGGTCAACTTTTAAAAGCATGAACAATTTGGGCCGCCGGCTTTAATTTTACTTCAACCCTCCGCTTCAATTCAGGAGTTCGATGTTGTTGGTGTTATCTCTAACGTGGCCAAGTACAGTCAGCAACACGCAGTACTGGAACTTCAGTCGAGGAAGTTGCTTGGTCAAGTACTCCGCAGCCATTTCGCTAGTAGGGCAGTAGGCGAGGTGTAACTTGCCTTGTTTGATTTCGTCCTTGACAGATAAGTAGCGTAGCGAGATGTGTTTGGTTGGATTGGCGAAAACTGACTTGTTTGCGATGCAGATCGCGGACTGATTGTCGCAAAAGAGTGAGAATGCTTAGCTTCATTGAGTAACTCACGAAGGTAAATTCCTTCCTTCGTTGCAGTCCATGCAGCGATAAACTCGGCCCCAGCTGACGAAAGTGCAATCGATTCCTGCTTGCACAACTGCAAGGAGATTGTGAGCGCCTGTTTGCTGTATCACCCATGTGATCTGCATCTACCTAGCCAAGTAGTGACAGCGGTGCTTGGGCAACTTGTGATAACTTAGGTCCATTGAAGTCGTAGATACGAAGTAGGCGACTGCTGCTTCGAGCTCCCGTAGATGCTACCCTTCAGGTCGCTTAAGGTAGCGAACTAGGCAGCCGCGTATAAGAGACTGCCGAGCAACTGCTGACAGCGTATGATTTCGACAGCTAATAAGACCTCAGTGTCGGCCGATGAGGTAGAACAATAGGGAAGAGAGGAATGCAGTCTCCATATCAATATGTCAGGGTTTTTAACCGAATGCGGCTGCGAAAGTGAGTAAAATGCGGAGCCATGTGTTACGGTTGATAGAAGCAAATGTCTCACCATAATCAACTCCTTGCATTTTATCGAAACCGAGTACTACCCATTGCGCCTTAAAATCACTCGATCGTCCCGTTTGCATTGGTTTTAATCTGGAAGACCCACTTCCCATAGAGCACGTTTTGGTTAGGAACGGTCAAAGTTGGAATGAAGTCCCACGCGTTGTTAAAGCCCGCGTCCCAAATTGCGGGCCGCGAGGGTCAAGTTTTTAAAACTTGACGAAGTTGAGTGTCCAAGCTTTTGAAAGTCACGCACTTGCAATTTGGGAATTTCGAAGACAGATTCACTCACCAGGGGGAAAACCGAGGGTTGGCTGGGTCTCGCGAAAAAAACGAACCTAGACGAAATCGGAAACTCTCGCCAAAGCCCACACCAGAAAAACTCCCTCTGGTCAACTTTTAAAAGCATGAACAATTTGGGCCGCCGGCTTTAACGTGCAACACCTTCAGCTCCCGGTCCATGACTTTGCGCCACTTTTCAGGATGAGGCCCAAGAGAGCTTGCTCAAGAGTCTTTGGTTCAGAAATGATTGTAGAGTTGTGTACAACAAAGGCTAACCCAAGTATCTATAGACCACTCTGACAATAGCGAGGTTGTTCCTCTGTCTCGACAGTGGCAGCTTCGTCAGCAGATTCAGGTCCAAAGTTGAATCCAGGACCTAGACGTTCGCTTTCGTTAGAAGAGACGGGGATGGGTGTAATTGCCCCATTGTCAGCGAACTCATTGTGCACTTCGGCGTTCACGTCATTGTTGGGATCCTTCTCGTTGATCTTGATCAGAACTGAGCAGTAAGGGGCGCCA